TGTCAGTGACATCTTGGTTGTGTGACCAGAAACCTTTCACTTTTGACAGCCTTTGCTTCCCCACAAGGAGTCATGTGACCCACTAAGTTGTGGCTTAGAGGACTTGAAGCATTCTTGTAAAAACAATAAAGGAATGTTAAAGAAAAGACATAGGCTATACAGTTCCTAAACATTAAACTTGCATCAAAATATAAGCAGGTTTAATATACATAAAAAATCAGTGAATATACCATATTTCATGAAAAAGGTACATGTTTTTGTTGGCACTTTCATAATCTGCAAAACTCCCCTCAGCTTCAGACACTAATGTGTTTCAGTTAAATAAAGGTTCTTAGGTACTTTCCATCTCAGATATTTGGATGCAGTTATGCTCCTCCACAATATTTATGACTGGCGTTCATGCTGAGGTGTGCTAAGGCTCAGCAGGAGCCCTTTGAGTCTACGCACTGCTGGTCTACAAACTAATCCTATGCAAATTACTTAGTCGTCTGTGCCTCCATTTCTCACTAGCTTACTGTGTCAGTGGGGAAAGATGAAACACAAAGGAGCTATTGGTTTTCTCCCATCATCTTGCTGGACTAATCTACTCTTTTTTTGAGACATGGTCTCAGTATGTAACCTTGTCTGGCCCCAGTTACATAGACCTGGCGGGCTGACCTCAAATTTACAGAGATCCCCTTCCCCTACTTCCAGAGTGCCGTGATTAAAGGTGTGCACCACCATGCCCAACTTGGGGTTGGGAACGGATGGCTACTGAGAGAATTTACTGATACAAGTATATTTGACTGAAAGTTGCAGTTATTTTAACAGAGGCTTGTGTGGAAAAAGAAAATTTAAAGTCACGCTTACTGTATAGTAAGCATTAAGGATTCAAATGCTCAGTTATTGAGTTACTGTGCTTTTCGCTTCTCATTGCATGATTTTCCTGAACTCCTAAGCAGAATTTTTTATGTAGTTTTCAGTGTTAGCTTTTTCTACTTTTAGGCTGTGTTGTTAAATCATACAAGTTAATAACCGATACGATGGTGCATTATTCCTCTCATATTCTGTCCCTTGTGTTCTTACTAAGAGGTCTTACCTTCACTTGAACTATCTGGTATTACATATTGCTGTTCCAGCTGTCTTGTTTAATCGTGTCTCTTCTGAGATTATAAAAGTTTATACTGTTACAATTACTCATTTGTATTTATCTTTCAGGCTTTCTACTTATGCTATTTTCTTTTACTTTGCCCTTTTAATTTTCTTTCCTATTTTCTGGGTTGAGTTTTCTTCCACTTTTTCATCTGGCAAGAAATAGTCTGTTTGTATTATTTTGCTGATTAGCTTCAAATAAGTTTGTGAACTTTGTATGATCAGCTATAGATTTTAACCAATAGAAGCTTCTAGACTAGTTCAAAGGAAACTAAACTACTGAAGTTGTCTTATTTAATTGTCCAAGCTTAACTACCTCTTTAAAAATATTTTCATCAGGCACTGGCCAAGCCTATTGGTACATGCCTTTAATCCCAGCCCTTGGGAGACAGACAGGTGAGCCTCTGTGAGTTCAAGACCAGACTGGTCTAAATAGTGAATACCAAGACAGCCAAAGCTACAAAGTGAGACCATTGTGTGGGGGAAGGTAGAGACCTAATGTAAGAAAATGAAAATAAGAAATGTGTTGTGTTCCAATTAGTGAATTGAGATCATACTTATTCCAATCTATAACTTGGCCATAATCAAGTCTTTGAAGTCATCTTCATGTTCAGTATCTCGGTGATTTTCAACTGACAAAGGCTGTTTTCCATTTCCCCACACTGTACTATTCCGAGTGCTTCCCTCCAGTTACCCACTTGAGGCTTTCATGCCTCTGCAGAACTAAAAACCAAACATCCTTAACAGTTCGGGGCAGGACTCATTTGGAGCTTCAGTTTTCTACTTGCCGTTGGCAAACTTTCTTGAAATATCCTCACATTTCACAACATCTTAGATACTTAAGTCCATAATATCTGCTGTAAACTGTCCAATTCATTAGGGATGAAATGTGTATCCTATTGCCTGGTAACTGATGACAATCCAGGTGGCTAAGCTTCCCAATAGCAACATGTACACAGAAGCAGCAAAGGGCTCCCAGTTATCAAACCCACAGTGTAGTCCTGTCCTTCATGATGAAACTTGTAACACAATCCTAACAGTGGTTCAATGCAGTCAGCTCTTTCCTGTTGGATTGTTCCTTGAATTCAAAGGCATAATTTTGGGTAACCCAAGACTACAAAGAAGTTAAGAAAAAGAAACCAATTTCACCCTTATATTGGTTAGTCTCTTCCCGTCTCCTAAAAATATTTATTGGCAATTTAAGCTGGGGCTTTGCTGCTGTCTCCAGAAATAATACACACACACAATATACAAGTTTTTAATGTGGTTGTCACTGTTCCAGCTCTCAAATCACTGTGTTCATTGGTGGGAGCTCCCACTCGTGGGGCTAAGGAGATGTTCAGTAAGTGCGTACTTACCTGAGCTTACCCTTCAAGCTTGACAGCCCAAGTTCTGATCCCACATCTCAGATGAAAGCAGTACAAATACCTAGAATGCCAGCAGGCTCTGAAGGAAGCAGTAGCTAGAAACAGAAGCATCTCCAGAAAATGTGCTCACTCAGTAGTCAAGAGACTTTGACTCAAACAAGGTACAAAGGTAAGGACACAGACCTCACCCCACCCACCTTCTGATCTCCATACATGCCTACATCCATGAATACAAACACACCCATCCGTTTTCCACTTCCCAGCCCACTCTTGCTCACGCTCTCATTCTTACACACACAAAGACACACACAAAAATATATAAACTTTAAAACAAAATTTTAAGTTCACCAATCCCATCCAAAGCTCCAGCAGAGAGGACAGGATCAGCTGTGCATGCTCAGAGTTTTAGGGGAGAATTGAAGGCTTTCTTCTACAGTTTCTGCTCTTGAGTACCCCAGTCTGACCTGAGTTCCTCCCCTACCCACAAACTAGTAAAACTCTGCTGCAAAAACATGTTCTGTCTCCAGATACTCAGGTAGAGACAAAGTAAGAATCTACCAACATTTATAGCACCCAGAGCTACCACAAGACATTTCTTCAGCTGAACTACAAACGATGGGAAACTGCCATGAGAAGGCAATTATAAATTGTAACGCATCAGTGTTCACTAGCCACATCTCACCCATGAGCCTTCCCCATAAATCAAGGTAACAGCAATGCAGCACATTGCCACTGCATACTGGGGACGCAGACGCAGAGCAGTCAGCCCCATGAAGCCGTCCCTACTGCAATCTTCATCTTACTACCTCTGCTTCATGAGTATCCTTTTTTAAAGCCTGCAAGATGATTGGTAGCCACTCCAGTATCAGAACTTCTAAGGCTAAAGAACTCTACTACAGTAACAGAACCTTCACCAAAACAAAACCCATCGAACACGTTTGTGCTCCAGGGCCCAACTTCCAGCCAATGCACTTACACAGTCTGGCATCAGCTTCATAGTCTGTTAACCTGCTTACACTTATTAAAGCTCATGGGATCTCAAGAAAAGTATCCTTTTATAAAATGACTGAGGTTTTAGTGCAATCAGGCACTATCTACTTGCTGCTTTTACAGCCACAGGTTTTTTCCAGTTTGTAAAGTGCCTAATCAGTTTTATGTAGAATATCCCTCACAGTACATACACAGTAGTACTATTTAACATGGACGTTACCTACTGCTTCTTACATGACCTCATAGACAGAGGCCAGGAGTCTGAAGAGGGGAGCCCTGATATCTGTTTGGCAGTACTGAGGACTGGTAAGTGCTCCACCACTAAGCTCTAGGTCCCCCATTCTCATAGCTTCCTAATGGGAAGCCCTTAAAAGCCTGATCTGTGCTGTGCTGTCACTTCCTGTAACACTACTCCCAAAGTGTCTAAGAATCACACAGATACTGGGGTGGAGGGACCTCATAGCGAAAGGTTCTAAAAGATGCCACATAAAGTACTAACATTTCTGGAATGTTAGGGAATCTTATAAACCTCCACTTTAAGCACCACCCCCGCCCCAATCCCTCACCTTGGAAGAGCAGTCCTTCTAGGTATATGTAACTCTCCAGTTGGCAATTCTGAACTGCTCTATCAAGCCAAACACAAATGCCAAAAGACTATTTGTCTTACCTACTGTGCCTATTACAGAAATTTGTCTGACTTTCCTTATCACCACACAGAATGAGGATCCAACTTACCACACTCTTCCACTCTGATGCCCTGGATGCTAGAATTAAGCCATCTCTTTTCTGGCCTCCCATCTCAAATCTAATAGAATAGTTAAATGCCTTCACAGATAACAGGCTGCAAAAACTCCAATAGCAGCAAACCAATCTCCACAGGGATATGAGGATCACCTATGGAAGACACTGTGGGTCCATGACACAAACTAGAACACTGCAGTAAGGGCTCACCAAAAGAGGTTAGAATCTCACTGGTTTTTCAGATGTCTTATTTTTCTGGGAAACACACTACCTTGCATCACTACACAGCCCTAAGACTGCCCTACACCCCAGAAGTTTACCCTACTAGTCCCAACAGGTAAGTAGAGAATGCCAGATGGAGACCTGGGATGATCTAAGGCACAAAGTGATGTAAGGAGTCTAAAAGAAAGCTGTGGGAATGGTCCTTCCCCTTACCATGCAGTGTTCCCTAGCAACCTATAATCTGTCACTTTGATAATCAATACCAACTAGAGATAAATAGTGGCACTTAGAAAACTTCCATGGTGAGCTCTTTCTGCTTAATACCATACTTAAAATATATGTTCCAAAGCAAGCTCATTTTAAACTGGCCTAGCTGTCCCATTAATCTGAGACATAAGGCTGACTTACTGCATTCTAATTGTTACTGTAATATCTTCTCTGGGTGTTCTTTTATGGAGCCTTGGAGACAGCCCTGAATCCCGAACAGTCCTGAACACGGACCATTTTCTCCCTTCAACATTACCGTCATTAAGTGTAACTGAACAGATATAAAAAAGGTACTTACAATCACACTTTAATAACAAGTTAAAAGACAAGCATGTGGCACACCCTGTAATCCCAACACCTGAAAGATGGAGGCAGGAGACTGATAGTAACTACATAATGAAAGTTTGTCTCAAAAGTAATCAACAAAAACTATTTTGACATAAATTTACTAATTACAATATTATATCATTCCTATATTATGTATCCTGATTGATCAAAATAATCATGAAGTAAGTTGTGTATGTGTGGATGAGAAATAACAGAGAATACAACCCTTTTGAGGGCTTTATGGATGAACATGTAACTGTTACCAAACTTTATTATCTGTAATACACAGTGCGCCTCAAGAGCTTTATTGTTTTATCATATAAACAAATCTGACATATTTACTTATTACCTATTGTACTTGTCACTTTAGTAATTTTAAAATTAGAATTCTAGTGTCTGTGTTGTTAAAGTAGAAGTGTTTCCAAAGTTATCCTTTGGAAAACTTTAAAAAGAAAAACAATAAAACTCTAAAATTCTGTGAATTAGACAGCTGAAAATAATTGTCTTCTGAACGAACACTCTTAAGGAGCTGAATGTGAGAGCAGAGCCATCTACTGGATGGAGTGTAGTATTACAAAGCACGACTGCTGGGCTGACAATCAGAACGGTAGCAACTTAGAAAAGGAGAAGGAACATGGGCAAAACTCATCTAGTCTAGGACATTGGTTCCTAAAGTTCGAAGGGAAAAAAAACTCTTTAACAGGAGACTCTGATTTTAACAAAGTAGGTCTGACCTGTAAAAACAGGGCAAGCACTTGCAACCCTAGTTTCAGTTGACGGAAGGTCTGTGTTAAATTAGCCTTAGGAGCAGAAGCCCTGAGAGGTAGTCTGGACCCTGGGTTGGGAGGTGCAATGAGAAGGAACAGTGTCAGCATCTTGGTCCTGCCCTCAACCATCCTTCTCCTGGAGACAGACGAACAAGAACAGTGGTTAATGGCACTGAGAAAAGGACTGAGTTAGGGACCTGAATCACTCTGTTCTTAAGGACACAGTTTATGTGTTCATTTGATACACACTCTCTAAATATGACTTTACTGAAAAATGCAAAAAGAATACGTTTGATCTTTTACCATCAGCCAGTAAGAGCTGAGTTCCTAGGTCCTCTGGGCTTTCACTAGTCGAGTCCTGGATTGGTCCAGTCTCGGAAACAAAAGCCCAGTGTCAGGTCCCAATTTTCTCCCTTCAAAGGGGCATGGGTGTCCATAGAATCGAGGTAGGAAGTAGAGCTCTTCAAGGCCTCTCTCTGTAGTAGAGACTCCCAGTCTTGACAGCAGCTTATCTGCTAAGTTTGGAGTAACAGGCTGAAGCAAAGTCCCAAACACTCGCAAGCACTCCAAGGCCACATGAAGCACGGTACCTAGCCAGGGTGCATCCTCAGGGCTCTCCCAGGTCAATTTCCATGGTGCGTGCCTTTGGACGAAACCATTAGTTTGCCGAACACAGCTGGATACCGCCTCCAGAGCCTTATAGATCTGAAAGTCATTATAATAGCCCGCTACCAGTTTGGGTAAAGTAGCCACTGCACTTACAAGCGCATAGTCTTCTGCCTGCACACGAACTGATGGCCCCATTAACCCTGGCTCACTGGGGAAACAGGCAGCACAGAAAGATGGGTAGGTCCCAGAAGGATTTATTCTGTAGGCAGTGCACCGGTTTAGAAGCCCTCCTAAGGCGTCTGCCAGCTCGGAGTCCAGCAATTTAACCACCTTTTCATCATAGTAATCACAGTCCCAGTTAGGAACCCCCTGCCGAAGGAGAAAGTAGCGGAAGCCATCCACAGTGTAGCGATCAAGGCAAGTCCTGGGATCCACCACGTTGCCCAAGCTCTTGGACATTTTCTGGCCACTCACCGTCCAGTGCGAGTGGACATAGATGCGATGTGGTGGCCTCAATCCTGCCCCTAGGAGAAGGGCAGGCCAGTAAATAGCATGAAATTTGAGAATGTCCTTACCTATGATATGAGATGTGGCTGGCCACCAAGACTTGAAATCTGCATCTGGGTAGCCAACTACAGTGAGGTAGTTGACCAGGGCATCCAGCCACACGTAGATGGTCTGCGAGTCGTCCCCAGGAACTGGAATGCCCCAGTGCAGATGGCTACTCCTTCGGGAAACGGACAAATCAGGCAGCTCCTCCTCCAGCCACTGAAGAACTGCCTGTTGGAATGGTTCCGGTGTGATTGCCTGAGGATTGTTTTGAAGCCACCGCTGGAGTGGTTCTCGAAACTGAGAAAGCTTGAAAATGTAATTTTCTTCCTTGGTCCAGGAGACAGGATGTCCACTCTCGAGAGACACGGGACACAGATCGCCGGTCGGACCCACCTGCCGAGTGACCTTGGCCTCGGGCAGGAAGCACTCATCCGAAGCGCAATACCATCCTTCATAGAGCCCTTTGTAAAGCAGACCCCGGGCCTCCAGCACACCCCAGAAGTGCTGCACCGCTACCCGGTGCCGAGCCTCCGTGGTGCGGATGAAGTCGGTGGAGGAGATTCCAGCCTCCCTGAAAAGCTGCAAGAACTGGGCAGATACTCGATCGCACAGCTCGATCGGGGCCAGGCCCGCGGTGGCTGCCGCCTGCTGGATCTTCAGGCCGTGCTCGTCCGTGCCGGTGGAAAACCGCGTGGACGCAGAGCTGGGAACTCGGAGACGACGGTGGCGGCACAGGGCGTCCGCCAGCAGCGCCGAGTACAGGTGCCCGATGTGCGGCGCGGCGTTCACGTAGAAGATGGGTGTAGTGAAGTAGGCTCGCGCTTCCCGAGCGTCGCCACTAGCGCTCGCCGAGCACGAACCGTAGCGGCGACAGCCGCGGCCGGCCCGGGAGTGCGTCAGCACCCAGAGAGCACACCGCCTCAGCATGGTGCCAGCCGGCCCCGGCACTGGAGGCGGTGTTCCCGAGCACTTGAGAGAGCGCGTGCGCAGCTGGACGGTACCGCAGCTTCCGGCGCGGAAGCCAATGAACGGCGAGCAGTGACTCCTGCGGCCCCGCCCACCACACCGCCTTCTGCAGGCTTCCTGCAGCGCGCAAAGGCCGCTGCCCCGCGGGAGTTTTCAGTAGTTGGCTAGTGGGTTCCCTGTCAGGGCAGTTAGTGAAAGAAGAGCGTATCCCGTGTGTTGTGCAGTTTTACTCGTTGGGATCTGTTCTGGATAGAGACTACATGCCCCACTGCCTTTTTTAAAGTGCTAATTAGATATAAGCACTGTTGCTCAAATGCACTGTTGCTATACAGGAATGTGAATGTGCAAGTAAAAACCCAGGGCAGTTATTATTCATGGAAGAGAGAGGAAGGGCAAGGCTCGAGATCTAAACTGCAGTCATCTCTAACTTAAATGTTGATGTGTATGGCAGTCCATTGGAGATCTCAGTAAAGCTTAGGTTGTTGCTCTGAGGTCTCAGTTTCTGCCTTAGCAGGTAGGAAAAGGGCCTCAAAATATGTATGTCTAACTAAGTTCCTGGTGTGTCTCATGCTGCTTTGTGGACCATCCTTTGAGAATCCCCAACAGTACTTAGGTTGGGTGAGGGATTTATAGGTGTTCCATCTCATTTTATTATGTGCATATATACACTGTTTGAGTTAAATGGGGGTGGGGAGGCCAGTTGTGGATGAGAAAATATGCTTCGAGCTAAGGGTTGATAATACAATTTTGGGTTTCTAAATTCTCTCCTGCTAAAAATTAGGATTCTGCCGGGCGGTGGTGGCACACGCCTTTAATCCCAGCACTTGGGAGGCAGAGGCAGGTGGATTTCTGAGTTCGAGGCTAGCCTGGTCTACAGAGTGAGTTCCAGGACACCCCAGGCTATACAAAGAAACCCTGTCTCGAAAATAACCAAAAAAAAAAAAAAAAAAAAAAAGGATTCCATACTAAAAGCTCAGGCTTGGAAGAATTTCAGGACTATTTGAGGAAAAATTTGTGACTGATTTTGTACAATAGAGCTGAAAGTTAACGTTTCTTTATCTGCACATCTGTGACTCCAAACTCCAGACCCTGGATGAATTCTCAAATCAATCCTTAAGGCTCAGCAAATGTTCAGACATGTTATTTCCTTTTCTCCCAGTGGCAGAGGTGACGGTCACAAGGCTACTGCACCAGGACATGCAGGCCCAGGACATCAGGGGAGGAGTCCTACTCCTGCTGGTCTCAGGATGAGATTTTTGGGGAGTTGGACATAAATATATTACACACAAGCCACTTTGTCCATTGATTGTTGCTTGCATGTATAGTTTGTTGTTGTTGTTGTTGTTTGGGGGGGATTCGATACAGGGTTTCACTCTGTAGACCAGGCTGGCCTCGAACTCAGAAATCCGCCTGTCTCTGCCTCCCAACTGGGATTAAAGGCGTGCACCACCACTGCCCGGCTGCATGTATGCTTTTATGGTTGGCCATATGGCACTGGATAACCGTTTAGGGGGCTCATCCCTGGGGAAAACTAATTATGCCTCTTTTGGCAGTCATTAATTGCCTATCTTGAGGTGGGACCCCATGAGATTTCCCCATCAACATTGGCATGCCAGATGGCTTTGTTCAGGCCTTGTTTAAGGAGCCTTATTGTCAGCTGGGCAGTGGTAATAGTGCATACCCTTGATCCCAGCACTCAGGAGGCAGAAGCAAGCCTGGTCTACAAAGTGAATTCCAGGACAGACAAGGGATACATACATACACACACACACACACACACACACACCTGTCTCAAGAAAAAATACAAATCAAACAAACAAAAAGCCCGATATTGTTGATATTTCGCAGGTTCCGTTTCCCTGTCACATGTAGAAGACACAATCTTGTAGCAGACTTCCTGGCCCTCTGCCCTCTGGTTCCCTGAGCTTGGGTAGAGAGGTTGCATTGTAGATGCTATCATTTGGTACCAGGCACCCGATGCTCAGTCGTTCTCCACATTTTGACCAGTTGTGGCTTCTTTGTCTAATGCACAATTTTCTTTGATAAGGGGTAAGAACTGCATTTATCTGTGGTTATTAGGATTAGGGTTTAGAAAGAAGTTAGCAATTCCACTGCTTTAGGAAAAGCCAGGAATAAGCTTTCTTCTTGAGACCATGACCTCACCAGCCACTGGTCATTTGCTACGTTTACAATAAAAGACTTGAATTCGGCCGGGTGGTGGTGGCGCATGCCTTTAATCCCAGCACTTGGGAGGCAGAGGCAGGCAGATTTCTGAGTTCGAGGCCAGCCTGGTCTACAGAGTGAGATCCAGGACAGCCAGGACTACACAGAGAAATCCTGTCTCAAAAAAAAAAAAAAAAAAGAGAGAGAGAGACTTGAATTCCCTCCTTTTGAGTGAGCCTTAAGTCCAAGTATTGTCTACTTACAAATAAATCACTTAGAAAGTAATAAACTATTTCACTATGTATGAAAGAGAATATACATATTTTAAAAGTAATTCAAGGGCGGGAAAATAATCCTTACAAAACTTTTCACAGTGGAAACTTAAAACAACCAAATGTTTCTTGCCAAGTGGTGTTGTAGGGATGCAGTGAAGTGCCAGGACAGATATTACAGAGTCCTCAGAGGTTGGTGTCAAGACTCACAGATACCCAAATCCAAGGATGTCCAGCCCTTATATAAAATGATGCAATATTTGAATATCTTGCACACAATTGTCTCTACTTCCTCAAATCATCTCTAAGTTGTACACTAACATTTAATATTAAAAGGTAGTGTGTAAATGCCTCATCTTGTTAGGCTTTTTTATTCAGGAACAATAACAAAAATGTACATGTTCTGTCCAGGTGCAGTTTTCAAAACACAGTTTCAATATGCATCTGTTGGAATATCCAGATGTGAAACCTACAAATAAGTAGCAGTAATTGTTAAGACAGGAATATATGCCACATTCGTACATGAAAATGATTTTTAAATAGTGTTAAAAGTCTAACAAAATTTCATTCTTTGGCAATTGTAGGGAGAAATGGCCTAAGTGTTACTCAGTTATGACCTTAAGAACCTACAGCTCCTCTTGCTAGAAGAGAAATGCTTGTGAATAGTGATGCCTTTAATCCCAGAACCCTGGATCTGTGAGTTCAAAGACAACCTAGTGTATATAGTGAGTTCCAGGCCAGCCAAGGCAAAAATGTGCTTCCCTTGCAAGCATGAGGATATGTGTTCAATCTTCACAAGCAACATTTAAATTAAAAAAAATAAAAAATAAAAAAAGCTGAGCATAGTCCAGTCCCCGCGAGGAGGGGGTGGAGACACAGCGGCCTCAGGCTTGCCGCCAGCCTAGACTACTTGGAAAGTTCCAACCGTGAGAGACAGTCTTAAAAATAGGGAGATGCTGTGTGGTAGTGGCACACACCTTTGATCCCAGCACTCGGGAGACAGAGGCAGGAGGATCTTGGTGAGTTCAAGTTCAGCCTAGTTTACAGAGCATGTTCCAAGACAGGTAGGCCTACACAGAGAAACCCTGTCTCAAAAGAAAAAGAAAAAAAGGGACAACTCCTAAGATATAACACCTGAAGTTATCCTCTAGCCTCCATGCACGCACACACACAATTATAGTAAGTACATACACAATAATAATATATTATAGCCTAATAATACACAATTACATAGTGGTAACGACATGCATGATAGTAAGAAAGAGCTGCATCCAGTCAGCATCAGCACCCGTTGAACTCAGTAGCCTTCTTTCTAGCCCCCTTCATTGGGTTTAAAGCATCTTCCTCAGGCGGTACCAGTGATATACCTAATATGAAAATGGATGTCCCTTGACTCTATTTGGCTATTTGATTCCCTTTTACCCCCTACAAAATAAAACGGAAGCATTCATAGCCCTTAGCTTACCCCTTTCTTCTTTCCCAGATTAGTGCTTTTTGTTTTGCTTCGCTTCGCTTCGCTTTGCTTTCACATTTTTATGTTCTAGTAATCAACTGCTTAGTGTTGCTCATTTGTGCCACAGTGTCTCACAATTCTGGCTTTAGTTATGTGTTCCTCTTCTCCAGGGATACACTCCCGCCTCTCTGTGTCAGTCCTCCGTACACTCATCCTTGAAACCATCCAGGATATTGTCCCATATGTTGCTGTTGAGTCATCTTTTATATCCAGTAGTCTTTGAGTGCCTGGAAATGGCAGGCCCTTGATAAAGGTAATGGATACTTAATAAATAACTCTCCAATCACCGTAATTGGTGCCAGTGACCAGCAGAGATTCCATGGTTACTGTATAACAGCACAACAGCCCATTCTACAAAAAAGGACATAAAGTATGGCAATCATGAATCTTTGTAAATAGTCAGATGAGTCACTCTGTCTACTGTCTGATTCATCTGATTTACCCAGAATTCCCTTCCACTGATTATGCCCATCCTTTAACATGGAGACCATGGAATGGTCTCCTATACAAAACACTTTTGAGAAGTAAAATACTTAAAGAAGTACGAGGCAAAAGATGACAGTGATCTACAGACTAAATAATCAGCACGTGTTCCTTCCAGGGTTTTCGTGTGCACAATTTAATGGACTGAAATTTTTCTTCACACTGGCATTCTCCAGGTTCTCAAAGGAGATCAGGGTTTATTTTATAAATAGTTGGAGTGGTGCTGAAATCACTTCTTTCCCATCAGCCTTGTCTCATAGGAGCGCACGTTGATAAATGCGTTGCTCTCTGCAGGCAGAGCGCTAGGGCAGAAGATCAGGTTCTCTCTCAGTCGTTAAAACCATCCTGTGGCAGACATCCCGCTAGGGACATTTTAAGAGGAAAAGAAATTGGTATTCAAAGAACTCAAGTAACCTGCCCAAGAGCATGTCTGTGGTAAGCATGAGAAGGAGAAGCCACACACAAGCAGTCTGCTTCCAGGGCTCCGAGTGGCTGGAGCACACCATCCTGGACCTGGCAGACACAACAGT